TAACTGTTATTGGCATAGTTACTCAATGAAATGGTTAAGTTTGGGAACGCAGTTTTGATGCTGCTCATCAAGTAAGTGAGGGCATTGAAGGGGACTAATATTCTAATTTTACAGACGTTGTTCATTATGTGTTAATTGCAGTGTAGAGGATACACAAAGACAAATTATACTTGCTCTGTTGTATGCGTAGTGGTATTCATAAACGTAAGTGTGTTAACAAATAGTATTAAGTACTATAAATAATGTTGTTTTGCTATTAATTTTGTGTTAAAGAATCACTGGACGATCTAGACCGCATCGAAATTCTCTTCCACCAACGAGCAGTAAAAAATTCATCACGAAATGGCGCGAACGACGAAGCCTTCGACAAAACGATGAAAAGCCGTTTCCTGAACTTGACAAAGGTTAATAAATTTCTGAACTAAAATCATTCGCTTTCTTCATCCATGCGTAGTATTTTAACATTACTTAGCGATTAGTTTGTGAGCATAATTACCATTACCGGCATACGTTGGCCATTTTTCAGTTATACCAGAGACTGAAAGAAAAAGGTACCTTCCTTTATCTGCTTAGTTAGCATTCGTTAAGGTTAATGGCATATCGCTGGAAGTGAAAAGATGATAGGTTCTGGTATTAGCCGGTGTGTGAAAACGCCTACTACTAAATCCTTGAAAGTATATAGTGGAAGGTAGTATACATCCATAAATTTTACATACGGAAAATTTATGGCTAGAAATAAAAAAGGGAAGTTGATTTTCCTTTGGATATTGGGCTACTTTGCATATTGGGACTGTTTCTGTGCATTTCTTGTCGTGGAAGTTATGGTGCAGTGCCGATCTCTGTTTCTGTGCCATCAACCACGAGTGTTTTATTTTAAAGATAATGTTTTCACCTGCGACCACTACATCGTGTAGTCTCCTGCTTCCTTTCTGACATAGGAGTTCTTATCATATTCAGTACGTGAAAGACGAGTGATCGATCGAGTTTTGAACTCTCCTGCGAAATTGATACTTTACCGAGTTAGCAGTTCGTGTGATCTGAAAACGTGATGCTGCCGTTCTACTGTAAAGGCCCATTGTAAAGAAGGTGAAACGATGTTAATTCGACTTCTAGCCCGAGTAACATGGTATGATTTTGCGTTGCATGTCAAAGTGAAACGAAGAAACTGTAGGCACGCGATGCGATACGTAGGTAAGAGAATAGTTGCGAGCCTAATGGTTGAGATGGTGGACCACTGTCAGACAAGAATGGATACGACAGATTGTCGGCAAACGTGTTGGCTAATATCGATGGAAGAATACTGTGGAATCTGTGACTGACTACACAAGAAGTTGAATACCATAGGAAAACATATCTGATGGAAATATGGGTTTGAGTGCATCGAAAGTGATGTGCAGCTGGCTCGTACTTTGAGGTCAACACGAAAATGAAAAATACTATTTGAATAGTTTGATATTTCGATATTTTTCAATGTTTCTATTGAACAGAAATTCAAATAGTTTTTTTGGCGCATTTTTGGTTAGTGCGCAGTATCACGTAGCATATTAATATTTGGCGACCCGAGTTCTGCGAAAGATTGGTGTTTGCCCTTTAGGTTTAACGGGAACTTGTGTAGTGAGTTCGATTTCCTTTCTCCTCCTCCTCCTCCCTTATTTCATGTATGCTAAGGGGATTGATCTACGAGTTTGCGTGGCCCTAGGAGCGTTCATCCACGTTACAGTAATGTGGTCATGCTGATTGTTGTATCCTTTTTTGTAAGTTTTCATGATGTTTATGGCGTGGCGTTGATTTCCATTACGATGCAGTGAACTGCGAATGCCTACTTAAGTTGACAACGTTTACAGCTGTGTAGCAAGCGCAGTAATGTCATTTATCAGATTAGTTGCAACGATTATGACAGAATCTACATCGGGAAGACTATAAGAATGTCGGAATAAAAGGACTGTCGAACATCTAACAGCTCTGAGGAATGGAAAAACATGGTATTGAGCCCTAGTTCCTCCCCCATATTTTTTACTTCGGGCAATCTTTTATTCAGAAGAATATCCTGATAAGGAGAGAACAAACACTGGCCTATTAATCGAAGAATTGTTGCATATGTTGGCTAAACTACAGCTGACTTTATAACGAATGTACGAGCATGTACAGTTTTAGTGCTAGCTGCAATGTTATCGGTGAGTTTGTTCGAAAGAAGTGATAAAGCAAGCGCTATGCCTCCTCAAAACTCACTTTTTACCATTGTTTTATTTCTGTATTGTAACTTTGAAGATGAAGGCATTGGGGTGCATCTTTTAAACGCGTTGAATCAAGCATTGCGAGATACGAAGACCATTAATTGTTATCCAAGCAGGCAACGAATCGATGTCCATTCCATAGCTGTTTAGGCCCAGATATAGTCTCCACTTTTTGTTCCTTTAAGCGGTATTTTCTCAGAAGATGAAAAATGGGTAATCCAGTCAGGATTTGAACGTGTATTCTTTCGCATCAGAGTTCGGAGCAGTTCTAACTAAACTCACTGAACTAGCTGGAGTTGTTGTAAACAGCTGTCCGTTTCTGGACAGAGTGAGACTATTCCTCTGTATTACGTGTCTCCACATACCGTTAGTGCATATGGGTGATCTTCAGGATGTCAAGCTGTTGCTTCTCTAAAATCGGTTACCGTCAGGCACAGATCAGAACAGCAGATTTCGATTTAGCAGTACAAGCATGTTTGTTTAGATAATGTAGAACTTTGTTCACACACCATTTTCTTAATTATTGTATATTTTCTTGACGACCACAATTGTACCAACTTAAAAGGCAGTGTTCTCGTCCTACTTCTTGCCATATCATTCCGAGTTGGACTTTGAATGTCTGGAACAGTGACGGTGAATACTTCAAGATTTCTAGATTTTGCATTGCTGTGCATTTTCACCTCGTAGATGGTAGTCGTGGAATTACGTTTGTTGAAAATCATGAGATGTCGAAACCTCTGAATAATTTTGAGCTGTAGAAGCGTTATGATTCGAGTTCGCTGAATGGATTTCCAGTAGTTATGCGATACGGATCAGTAATTTCGGTGTGAATCTTTTTTGGCAGGTGTTGACACCATCTACGTTTCCTGTTCTTGATGCTTGACACCATTCTACGTTTCCTGTTCCATCAGCCATGCCCTAAAGACAGTGGACTGCCTTTTTTGCAGAGTTTTCTCTAAGATTGGGTAGAAATGTTTTTTTCCACTGTAATTTCAGGAGAGTTATCGATCAGGGTTTTCAGACTACGCCAGTTCCTTTAAACATAGGATATTTCTTTGTAATTGAATCAGTTGTGGCTTTTTATGACGTTGATTTGGCAGTGTATATCCTTTACAGTATGTTAAAATAAATAAATTTTCCATTTAAATTATTGATGCTAAATTTACAAATTTGCGGCGAAAATCGTATATTTGTTTTCGGTTTACATAGGTGTTGCACTGTTGTATCTAGAACATACCCGTGTTCAGCCCGTTTTACATCGAATGCACTACAGGCATTTAAATACCGCGGAATCATCGCCAATTTACATGCTCCTCTTAGGCGACTAAAGGCAAGGAGATGGTGCAGTGTCACGGTATAAACCGGTGTAATGACTTCCATCCTTCTTACAGTAGCGTAGTATTGGAGTAAGATAAAAAAATACAACGTTTTCGCCTTGTGAATCCGGTATGAATAATTTAACTGTAATATTTACCGGCAGAATTGAAAAGCTTCCATTCGTGGGATCAGAGCATTGGGGTTACGCTTATAATATTTTCTGAATAAATATGGCATTTTCAAATATTTTTAGCCTATTGTTTTTTGCTGTTGTTCATTGTTCATTTCATTTCCAGTCGGTGAAGACAATTCGATGGAGAGTTGCACTGATTGTGCGGATGACAAAGGATTTTTCATGTTTTGGAAAGGGCCTCGAGCCGGCCGGAAATATGGACGTGATCACTTTTCGCTGGTTTCCAAGAAGAGTATGTCAGCCACAAATCTTTTCGACGTAGGTTTACTGGAAGGTTCATGCTATCCGTTCTATTATATCATTATAGCCGTCTTATGCTGCTGAGAACAGTGGTTTGGTTTCGTCGACGAATCAGGTAGCATCCGCTGAAAGTCTTCAGCATCCGACTGCTAGCATGGAAAATCTTCTGATGCGAAGTCGTCTTCAGGAAGACGTTAAGGCACCGCTGGTGGAAAATGTTTCACAGCATTCTTCTGCGTCTGAAATTACTAATAGTCCAACGACTTCGACGACAGGCTGTATATCAAAGACAAAACCCGAATATGAAACCCGTCAAGATCTCTCGGTGGATCCTTTCGAGAAGGCAGCTAAGAAACGATCGCCTTCGTACGCGGCCGTGGCTGACCCTCGCCTCCATCGGAATCGCCATGAGTACAGCGTACGATTGGCCGACAGTCTTTCCGAGAACCCGCTACATCAAGTGGTTGAAGAGGGTGAACCGTTCGGAACGTGTATGTCTGTGGACGAATATCTGTCTCAGTTTAGCTTGGGTGCTCATATGTCAGACTTGTGCGCTGAACAGGATGCTGTGTTTTTGCCGAGTACTTCATCAGGGAGTCACAGGACCGATAACCAGCTACTCGATGGTGCTGCTTCATCTGCGGGGGCCTCGACCTCGACCGCGGGCCACTGTGATAACAGGATGAACGGTGACGGGGACAGCACGTTGGATAC